GCTCTTTCAGGTTTTGAATCAAGTTTCATGTTAGACATACAGAGTAAAAAGTTATTAACTAAATTTTCGGTAAAATTGGTCGTAAGTGGCGCCCTCTATGAGCAATTCTGAAATTACAACACGCATCTTATTCGTCGCCTAAAAAAATATAGTTTCACAAATTTTCAAGTTCCTAACCTACATATTTTCAGAATAATCGCAAAAAAAACGATTTAAAATTTTAACTTTCAACACCCTGTATTTCCGAAACTATCAACTTTCGGATAAGGCATGTTTGCGCCAATGGTCACCATTTCACGTGTAATATCTTCACCTTTCGACTTTCCCATTGTTAATGAATCACCCTGTATAAATTATTATTGCGGACGCCATGTTCATGCCAAGTGTATGTTTGGTTGCATATAGTTATTGCCAGTTATAGACAAGCTATGCAACCATATATTCAATGTATTCAATCTGTCCACAGTCCGTTCAATCGGCCAATAAAAAACGAATACGTCCCGAAATACCTCAATTTATCTTCGTTCAACCGTCATCTCTTTCTAATTCATTGCATTTCCCATAAGAAAATAAGAGGCAAATTTAAAATCGTCACTTTTCTTGTACCACGCTCCTTTTAACATAAAATAATAAATTTAATCAGTTATGATTATGGTTAATTAACAGGTATTTTGAGTCTAAAATGTTACCTTTATATACAAACTGAACCTTTACATTGGAATTTGGAAATAAAAGCATGAAATGTGAAACTGTCTTGAATACACATCACGATCGGTCACCATTTTTTACGTTTTGTTTTTTCTATGTACATAATTAACTTAAAATTTGTGTTCATTTTATTAAAGATATCCATAAACTCTAATAAAATGAAGAGGGGGAAGTGAATATATAAACAATTTAGACCTATCGTAATATTCTCTTGGCTCCAAAATAAAAAGTTTATGTTTTTGTATCTGCTTTTGTCTTTAGTTAAATTTCAAATAACTTACCAAAGTACTTTATAATAGGCTGCAACATAATTTATTTTTGTACTTACTAACTAGTTTTACAGTTGATGTTCCGAATTAAAAAATTTCTGTTTTTACAAGTAAACTATACAGTAGTTTTTACATTACATTAATACTGGGAAGAAAAATTCCAGGAGACTGTTAGATGATGCTGTATATTCCTATGTACCTACTACATAAACATCTTATTTGTTTTTTTAATTTATGTGATTATGGAAAGGTCTCTAGCCCACATGAAAACTACTCCAAAAATAATTGTCTATATTATAGATTGAGTGAAATAGAATAGCTTCATCTTATTCAAAGTACGCCGAGTACATGTTAAAAAATCTGAAGGAGAAAAAAATCAGTTTAAGCTGCCAAATATACACAAGGTACCTACCACAAATATTTCTCTAATAAAATAAGTTTATAGCAACTTCATTTGAGTTAATAATAAAATGTTGGATTTACCTTGTTTCAAATCATAACGTTGATGAACCTATTTAATATATGCGATACAAAAAATTAAATAAATATGAATTATTTGTCCAACTTCCATCTGTAGACAAAGAAATTATGATTTAGCATTAGCGCCATCTACTAAAAGTCGCTAAAGGAATATTATTTCCGAGTTTCGTTCTGAAAAAAAAAACCCGTAATAAAATTTTCAACTCGATTCTGAAATATTGCCAAAACTAGAGAAATAATTTTTATATTTATAGAAACAAAAGCCACATTTTATTAAGTACATTTGCTATGAAATACTAAAAATGTTTGGTCTAAGAGAAAATCAAGAAAGAAAAGAACAAGAAACTAATAGAGAAATCAGTAGAAAATTAAAGGTAATTCTAAAAAAGAGAAAGAAAAACAAAATAATAAAACTCGGCAACAATAAAATCAAGACACCACGATTTTTTAAATTATATTTAAAAAAAAAAACACCATATAACAAACTAATCTTTGTCGTCCTCATCTGCTTCTTCGTAATCTTTCGTTTTGACATCTTGATCTTCACCGAACTGTATAACATTGTCTATAGTTATCAAAACATCACCGATACTTTCGTGGTCCTTCAAATTGAGAGGAATGAAACGCACTAAGGAATAATCTTCTATTAACTTTCCTATGGTTTCAGTCAATTTTCGGTGCTTTTCGTTGAAGGCTGAGTTACCAGACAATTCAATATCCCCTAAAAAGCCACCCACAAACATTTTTATTCAATTATCCCGGTAAGTTAATCAAAAGATGGTTACAAACAAGTAATAAATGGCGCAAAGTTTCCGTTGGCGTGTCTTACCTAGAATGGCGTGCGAATCTGGTTCTAAGAACCTATCCAGTCGTTTTCTTGCGCCTTTGCTCAGGAGATCCATTTTTGACAGTATATTCACGTGAGGCAGCTCCAAGTTGACCATAACACTTAACGCAGCCATCGTACCTAGTTCGGCAACGAATTACAATAAATACATATCAAGTTATGACGATTTGTTTCAGTTTATAAAAAAATTCTCGTATGTGCTATGACGGCACAAACTTTGTTTTCGAAATTCATAATTCAATAAAAAAAATTATCTCGACTCATTCAAATATTGCAATTATTTTTAGGAAATTTAAGTCGGGATTTCTTAATTTGGACCATAATAGAAATCTAAAATTTTACTATTTATATAACTTACCTGAGAGGAACTTTGCACCGTCGGTCATAAACTGTACATCAACGAGGAAAACGGAACATATACTGAAGTTCCAGTCTTGCAGCTGCTTTACAAGTTTTCTTATGGCTGTAAGATGTGTGTACAACTCTATTTGACCAGGACAATCGAATAAAATATAATCGTCCTCTTGATCGCCCATTTTGTCACGCAACCAATCAGAATTTTCTAGGAGATATTCGATGCAAAACACCAAACCACCTTAAACCAGAAAAAAAAGTATCGCTTCTATAATTTTCGATTCATGTAGGATATTTTGTATCAAAAGGTGAAAAGTTTTGTACCGTTTGGACCAAAATGAAGCTCTTCATCCTCCATTGTGTCCTGGACATGGATAAGTTCTCTGATATCTACCAACGGTTCATAGTCGAAATGCTCTGCTGCTGGGTCTAGATTTACCACCTCGATGTTCCTTTTCACGTCGACACCATGTTGTACAAGAGCGCTGCAGTATGTCGACTAGAAGAAAGGGTTACTTTATGATTCAAATTTTAATTTTAATAGAATGCTTAAAATTCAAATATTAACCCCTACCTTTCCGCTACCAGCAGGTCCTATGACTAGTTGGGCGTATCTCATTTTTTAAGGAATTGATTTTATACAAAATTAAAGCAAAATTAGGGCAAAGAATGAAACAATCATTTTAGGTTATGTTTATTCAACAATCAACATTCAAGTTTCTCTCTCTCTAATTTTCGTTTAAATTCAAGTTCAAATAATCTGGTAAAGTTAGATCATATCCTGATTGAAATTTATCAACTGGTTGAGTTTGGTGTTGCCAAATTGAGAACGTTTTAAACTAAAAAAAAAAAAAGTAGATTTAGAGTAGAGTAGAAAGTTAGAAACACATATTTGAATTATTAAATAATGTTATATTTTTCTTGTTATTGTTGGCTATATTACAGTTTATTTATAATTTGTGGTTGTGACAGTGGCAGGACTGATAAATGACAAATTACCACATACTTCTATCCTATCTATCTATCGATAGAAGTATGTGCAAATTACATACAAATTGTCAAATTTAACCTATGAAAGATTTGTCATCTTTTTGGACTATTAGACAAACTAAGACCAGTATTTGAAAATCGTTTGTTATATATAACTCAACAATGCCTGTAAGTACAGTTTTATTTATTTTACGTAAATCGATTTGCCTTTTAAGATTCCGACATATTTTGTTATCAGAGGGTGTGGTAACAACCGGAAAAAAAACCAACTAAAGTTTAATTTGAAATATATCAGCATTTAAGCATATCAGCATGATTGTATCTAATTTTAGGCATACCATTCGAGTTTTTTGGATCCCCCACAAATAATAGGGAACACAGCAATTTTACCGTTTAAGACACAGTTTCGTGGGCCTGCGCCACCACAGTTCAACGACCAAGACATAATCGATGAAACCTTGTATTATTTTAAAGCTAATGTATTCTTTAGGACGTATGAAATTAAGGTAAGTGCTACATAACCTTAAAAAGTATTATAGGCCTAAAAATACGTTGCTGGTCTCATTTCTTTTTATTTTTAATTTTCACTAAAGATAAATTGATTTCGTTTTAGTCAGAGGCCGATAGATTGCTTATTTACATCACATTGTACATAACGGAGTGTCTAAAGAAGCTACAGAGGTGTAATAACAAGAACCAAGCACTGAACGAGATGAAAACTTTAGCCATCTCGAGGTTCGACATTCCTGGAGATGCAGGGTTCCCCCTCAATTCCGTTTACAGGTGAGGGTTTATAAAAAATTTAAAAAAATTATTACATATTGTAAGGTTTTATTTGACGATTGCAGTAAGCCAGCGAATCAGAGTGAAACGGAACTCCTCAAAGCATACTTGACACAACTGAGACAGGAGGTGGGGCATCGCGTCTGCGAAAAGGTGTTTGGCGAGGACGGAAAGCCCAGCAAGTGGTGGCTGTGCTTCGCCAAGAAGAAGTTCATGGACAAGTCGCTCTCGGCACCTGGCCAATAGGTTTTGATATTTGTAACCTCGATTTAAGTATTCGTGTAATCGTAATTTTATATTTTAAATGATTTTATCAGAATAAAAGTCACAATGTTCAGTTTCGGTTGTTCATTCAATGTGGTTCCAATTTTTTTCCTAATTCTTTTTGTTAGTATTCTCACTGTAAATATTATACAGGGGCCACCATAAAAATTGCATCAAACAGGGAACATTTTTATGATTTGAGAGAAATCCTTTTGCTTGGCTGAACATCAAATAAGGGCACACTAGATATTAGAAGTTTAGGAAAAAATGCGTAATCAACCAAAATTAAAAAAATAAATATTTGACGAGTCCAATTTAAAAAAAAAACTGTTTAAAAAGTCAAAAAGTGAAATTTTTAAATTTTTAATACTTAAATTTTGTCAACATGAATAAAAGCTATTAGGAATTTGGTCAATACCACTTTTTTTTTTAATTTAAGCATTTTTACTTTTTACTGATTAAAATCAACCTATTTTCTTCTAAATCAAAAATCGACCAGTACAGTAATGAGCTACAATGAATAAATAAAGCTTTTTAGCCAGACATGAATAAATAAGATATTTTTTTACATTTTGAATATTAACAAATATTTGTTTGTTAATAAAAACAATTATGTAAGGATAATAATTGTTTTCGAATGTTAGTTTGCACAGTTTAGTACTTTTAAGATTGTTAACATATTCACTACGTTTTATAATTGAATATGAGTTTTCAGCATTACATAATATATTCGATTAATTATTCAGTTTGTAGTACGTATACCTTATTGTGTGACTTATTGCTTTTCAATGAGTTTGGTTACCTATTTAAAATGACACAACGGCTAAAAAAAAAACTCACTCGTTCGTCCATAGCTTTATTTAAGGATCTGCTGCACATTGATTTTGAAACCAGTTACAAAATTCTAAACGGCTGGGTTAAAATCAGCTGTTTTTCTTCAACTTTCGAACGTTCTAAGTCTGCCGACGTGTTCCGTCTCACGAAGTAGGGCGACAAATTAACGGAGCTGAGAGATAATTCGCTTATTTTTTAAAAGGTCGAGTAAATTTTTTTTTCAATTTTCTGTCTTTATTAGGCCTTCTGAATATTAGGTTAATATTAATGACGTTATGACTGAATTATAAAAATAATTACTTCTTTCAAATTTTTATCATAAAAAGAAAAAATGTTCTTTTGAAAATTCGGCTTCAACCATTTTTTTTGCATAGTTTCTTTTTCAATCAACATTCTAATTTCAACAAGTGATTCTCTTCATATAGGATTCTACATAAAAACTAATAATTATTATTGTAATATACACAATGTTTAAAGAACAATTTAAGAATTTTTAGAATTGGATTGAAAATAACGTTGCAGCTGATTTAAAAAAAAAATAAGGTTTTTCTAATTTTTTCTGTATAAACATCGGATAAATAGCAATATTATCTTTTCTATGCCAACTTTTTTATTGTTTCCTATGCCATTGAAAACCTCTATGAGAATTTTTTCAAATTTTTTCACCCAACTCCAAAAAAGAGAATTTTTGAAAAAATAGCTTTTTTTTTAAATAACCATAACTTTTTCAAAAATCGAGTTATCGGGACTTTTTTATTCAAAATTTTTGTTTTTAAATGTACTTTTTGAAAAAAATAGATCAAAATTATCTGGACCTGTTTACCGTTTTTTTTTTCAAATTTCGAAGGAAAACAAAAATTTCTCAATTACTATTTTTGAATTTTTTTTTTTTTTTTTCTTATAAAAACTGACATTTTTTATAAATCCTCAATTTTTTTCAGTAGTTTTTTCGTTTTCCATTTTCTTTTATTGATTGAAAAAAATTTTTTTTTAATTTGAAATTTTTTTAAAATGTATATAGAATCCCAAAATTGAAAAAATATATATGAAAGAAATAATTGAAAGTGGTAAACATAAAGTATATTTCGATTTTTTTTGAAAAAGTTGAGAAAAAATAGATTTTGAATAATTTTTTTGTATTTTTTTCAGAAACTACATACAAAAACAAAGAAAATGAAAAAAAAGTTGTTATTTGGTCCATTTTTGGACAATAGTGGGCTTTAAAAAAGACATGCAACACATTTGAACTCAAATAAATCATTTTGAAACCATCCTCTTTTGACTTTTTGAAATTGTCATCAATAGCTGCATAGAATAATTTTTTCAATTTTGGGATTCTACATATATACATTTTCAAAAATTTATGTTGTGAAATATGCTAAATTTGAAAAAAAAAAATTTTTCAATAAAAAAAATAGAAAACGAAAAAACCACTGAAAAAATTTGAGGATTTATAAAAAATGTCAAAAAAAAAATTCAAAAATGGTAATCGAGAAATTTTCGTTTTTTTTTCAAAAATTGAAAAAAAAAAACAGTGAAGATAGGTCCAGATAATTTTGATCCATTTTTTTTTCAAAAGGTACATTAAAAAAAATTTACCAATAACTCAATTTTTGAAAAAGTTGTGGTTATTTAAAAAAAAACAATTTTAAAAAATTCATTACTTTTTTTGAGTTGGATGAAAAAATTTGAAAAAATTCTCAGAGGTTTTCAATGGGGTAGAAATTAATAAAAAAATTTCAGCCAAATCGAAAGGGGTCAGGGTTAAAAGTGGTCGATTTGACGTGGAATGCCCCATATAATTTCACTTAGAATACTAACCTCATTTATCTCAAAATCTTTAATTAAAAAAAAACTGTAAATACTTTTTATTAACTGCAAAAAATTACAACGCTAAAATAAATGTAACACTAGCACCTTATACGAATAAAAACAGACAACAATAACAATTTTTTAAACTTAAATGAAGCTCTCAAATAGGTCCACCAGCCTTTTGATTTCTTTTCTGTAATCTTGTTAAGGAGCAATAATACAGTAATGGAGAGAAACTGAAATTAGTTATAACCTTTTTAATTCCTTTGTAGAAAGTTTTAGGGGTCTGCAATCCATCAGTTTATAGCCTGCTTTACGTCATTTTAAACCCTGAAATTGCACTACACACAAAGGGCTTTTCTACTGTGGAAATAAATAAAAATCACTGGGAGCCAGATCTGGAAAATAGGGTGGATGTGGAAGTAAATAAGCTTAGATTTCCTTGGTTCCGTCTTGCATGGACTTACTGCAGTAATAGATGGGCATGCAACATTTCAGGACATTGCCCGAACAGCTTTATTTCATTTTGAAAGTAATTAATCCAATAAATGTCAAAAATTGTTGCCTAAAAATTCTATCAAACGAAGTTAATGTTCTTCAATAGTAAAAATCTAGCTACGAAAGATATCTAGAATCTTAACTGATGATATTGCAGCCCATCCCATACAAACATTAAATTACCTTCGCAATATCTACAAAACGGCTAGTAATTAATGATTAAACACACCGACAAAATTTTTCACCAGAAGCCGACTATACTTGTCAAAAGGTTTTTGGCTGATCCATATCCATCATGTCTCACGTCTAGTTTTCGCGATATCCTAACCTAAAAGTGTGAAAAACTAATTCGTTACGAAGTTTTCATCAATCTTTCCAAAATTCCCACTGTTGCGCCCAAAAATTGTTCTATGCAGCCAAACTACTACTTCGATGCAGCAGCCCACATCCCTGACAGCTCGATTTGAGGGTGGCGAAGCTAAGCCTGAATCTAAACTCTAAACATTCTCCCAATGTAACAAAATTGTACAATATTAAAATGATTAACTCAAAAGGATGTTATAATTTTAAGATGTCAAATCCAGTCAAGGTCCAGGAAACCACACTAAAATAAAACCCACAACAGAGACGCACATAGAAACTGCCGTAGATGCGATCAAACGTCTACCCTGGAAATCGGCAGTTCAGTAACCAGGCATGGGTGCCTGGCCAGTGCTTGTAACATGCTCAAAAGTCAATAATAAGACAAAATTATAAAAATTTCATATAGTTATTGGTAAATAATTGAATCTGTTTATAAGTAATTTTAAGCAGGATCCAAAATTTTTACAATTTGAGATGCACAGGCAGATTATGCACGATAACGGAAAAAATTCACTATTAAAGGATACATTCTAATGGCATGTCCCTCTACGATCTTCATCGACTGTGTTACTTCCTCAGCTTTGGCCATCATTGTGTACATACTCTAAAAATGGACGTCCAATAATTATAAAATTACAATTTTCTTGGCTAACCGCTCTTTAAAAACGTACGAGACATTTTTAAACAAAGTTTAGTAAGATTTATATATGTATTTTTCAAGAATAAAATGCTGATACGACCTTTTAATAGAAATTATTCAATAAAAGCGTGCAACAACTTTTACTACACAGACTCTTACAAAAAGCCAAATTTTTACACTGTAGAGAATTCTCTCTTGACACGGTCGTAGATAAAAATGCTCTTTTTAAACTTCAAGACAACAGCTGAAGCGATTCCCTATGCAATTTTTTCGTTTTCTTCCAAAATGTTTCAAATTAAACTTAATATTAAAGATGTTTTTACTTCATGTTACTAAAAGGCCCCATTTTTAAGATAAATGGCAAAATATCAAGTAATCCTTAAATAAACCAGGTGCTTTCATTAATTTTGAACATCTTGTATCCCAAAAACAAAGTGTGTCCAAACTCGTATTTAAAGGAACTTTTTTTTATTAATTCGTGACAGTATCCATCATTAAAGTTTGGCTAAGCTTTTTAGTTAAACCCTGTATAGTAATTGACAATTTCAATTATCAGTACCTACCTGTTATATTAAAAAGTGTTAAATTATTAACCAAATTCATTTAGGACTATCTTCCATATTTCAACAAAAAAAGTACGATGATTAATATAAAATATGCCTGAAAAAAATCTGTACTTCCTTTATAAACCCTACCTTTATATTAGAATCCATTGCATCGGACATTTTTGAAACAGCATTTTTGTAGACATCCACATTATCGGCTGTTATCGACGATATCTTAAAAAAAAAGTAAAAATTTCATTGTAACTGACCATATTCTGCTAAACAGTAATTACAATCTCGTCACACGACATTTGTTTCGAATAAGTATCTTTTAAAATTTTAATTAAAAATAATTTTAAAGTTCAGAACCATCCACTTTTTTTTTAATTTTTGTAGTTGCCAAATACGTTACGTTTTTAAAAAATCAAGGTTAACTCACAGAGTGCAATATCCCGCACAAATTTTCAATGAGGCTATCTATCGATGTGGCCATTCTGTGCGCCTCGCATTCCAAATCGTTTATTAGCGCGGTATCTATTTGTCCTACCTGCGGCACCAACAGCTGCCTATATAGCGGACTCGGCGTGCAAATCCTAGAGCTGCTGCCTCCTGTGGGGGCATCTGAAAGCCCGTTTTATATACAATGTGTCCCACGACTGCGTCCTGGAGAGTAAACACTTTTTTTATTCGTAAATTTATGAGAAAACGTCAAGCTGAAAAGGAAAAAAAATTTGAAATAAATAATTTCTTACTCCAATGCCATTGTATGGAGTCATTATTTTAGTGGAAATTAAAAAAATATAAAACTACAACGAATTTGGTATAGCTGCCTAAATGTCCTATTGCTAACCCACAGATGGCACCACAAATCAAAAATCCATGTATGCTAGATATCAAAAGGTAGCGTCTAACACAATTTTGTGGATTATTTTGATGTTTTCTGGTGTTGTTGTCTCATTTGAACGTGCCAAACGTTTGGAATCATCGTAGTCCGTACAGCCCTCGGTACAGCCAGGTTTAAACTCAGCAAAACACTGACAAATGGTTGTTCAATGGAGCAGATTCCTCATAACACTTTTCAAGCCATTGCTGTGCTTGAACGATGTTTTTACATTTACATTTTATCAAAAACGGTGTTTAATCAACACGCGAAATTCAGTTTTGTGAAATGTTTCAAAAAGTAAGGTCAGCAAAACTTCAATATCTCTATAATTAATGGTCGAAATGTCACAAAACTTTGACACGTTGCTTTTCGATATATCAAAACATTGGAGTAAGATTTTCAAAAAATTTGACACGCTGTATATAAAATCATGAAAACAGTAGCATTTTTAGACCTGAAGACAAACGGGAACTTCTATAAAGAATTACATTTTCTCATTAATTTACAAATAAATACTGTTTCGTTTTCAGGACACAATCCCAAAACACACTGTATAGTGTACATACAAAAAACATGCAACATATACGACAATCCTTTCTCTAAGTTAAAATTGTAAAATCTGCATTAAAACCATAATTTTTTTTTAGTTATTAGTTAAACCACATACCTTTTTTTGAAACGGGACTGGAAAGCCTTATCTTATGCTCCAAATCCTCCGTTACAAAGTGGGTCATGTTGCCCTCGACGTGTACGGTCCCTTCTAAAGTTAACGGAGCTAAAGGCTTAGAACTGGGCAAATTTTTCTCACAAGGCAATGTCATAGGCCTCTGTCGGATATGCTCTAAAAGCGGCGAGGCATCTAAAGATAGCGGCAGAGATACCTCGTTTTCCGGGCTATGTCCAGATTTGAAAGAGATTTCACTGTACGACTGGGTCATTTGTTGCGATATATCATCGTCGTCGATGTCTGGGTCCGCATCAAAGTGATCCTCTGGTTTGGGTTGTGACGTCGGTTTCGAGGGTCTCTATGAAAGCACCGTGGCAAAGTTTATATCACACGTTACAAAGATACAAAAAATTGTATTTTCAAAAACTAACCTCAATTTAGACACAGTGTGCATATACGCTTTTTTCTACCTTTTAATTCCAATTTGAACGATCACTATAATTTTGATCACTGATTATAAATGTTTCGCACTATCTATTAGCGTATGAAGCAATGACAAATAAAGAAAAATCAATAAATTGTGCATTACAGAAAAACTTACAGCTGGCAAAGGTGGAGGTAGTTTAGGAGCTGGTTCTGTGGGTGGCGGAGGAGACGGAGTAGAGTGTTCATCAGAATCCATGTTAGAATTAGATTTGAACTATTCCTATTTTAATTTATAAATTTTCTTTAAAAGAAAACATTTTTCTATCCAATTCCAATTACTACAAACGTCAAACTTTTGACAATCTCCTCTTCTTCCCCTATTTTAGACACTAGCATTGACCCACTGACCTATATCCTATATTAGATTTATAAAGTTCAACCAATTGTTTATGCCCAAGCAGAATTCGATTCTGAACAATTAATTACAAACAATAACTGTGTAGAGAAAGCATAAGCACGGCACAACTCAATCACAAACGAAAAATGAAACTTATTTACAGTTACAGAATATGTCTGTTTGAAATTGGCAAGGTTACCCCACATACTTCTATGTGATAGAAGTATGTGGGTTACCCACAGGGAGATTAGACAAGGAGCACGAACTGATAAGGGAAAATTGACAAAAGATTTTCAGTGCAATAGTAGAAATTAGTTTTTGCCGCTATTGATATTACAAAAGGGCCGTGTTCTTTTATTCCTCGTTTTAATGTGATGAATTCCATCGACGTATTACTATTGGCCTGTTTAAAAAATTCTAATCTTTCATTGGTTCTACGGAATCCATCATATCGAAATGAATAAAAGAACACGGCCAAGCCTTTTTCTTTTACTGTCAGCTTTGAATCATGATCACTGAATCAAGATCAGACAAATATGAACTAAATCCATGAATCCAGTTTAGAAAATAACAGGATTTTGTTTACTCTTGACATTTGATTTTGATTTGTTCACAATTAAAATAAAAACAGTAACTGCCGTCTTAGAAAAAAAGAAAGAAAATTACAAAAAAAAGTTTGATTCATAGGGGAAAGGGGATTGCCGATCCTGATCATATAATTTGACAGGATCCGGAAACAAGAAAACAACTACGAACATGATTTTGAGATCATAACGAGTTTAGGTTCAAAAACGGCACCCAAAAGAAAGTAGGTAAAATGTACATATTATTTGTTTTGGGGTTTTTTGGGTAAAAACGATAATTTTTAAACAAGATTTAATATAAAAACTTCTTGAAATATCCAAGTTTGTAGCAAAAAATTGGGAATAAAATTTAATTCTCTAACGATGTCGCAAAAGCAATCGCGCCATTATTCTATGGCTAGAAATTGGCCTCAATGATTTGGGATCGAGGGGGATTATCCCTCTTTATCCTGCCTCATCTCGTGTAGGCCTGGACAGCCTTCGTAGGTGGGCCCCATCCGTCGTCTACCCCGACCGCAAATGCGGCCGGTGTAGGCGCTTTGTGGGACCTCCTTTTGTCCTGGCTGGGCCCCGCCGGCTAGGGCCCTTTCTTCTGGCGCTCTTCTTGCTTCGCCGGCTCGTCTGTGTAAACCCCGGGGGTAGTGTCATGTTTATGTGTGGTATGGTTGGGTAGGGTAGTGCGGCTATGCAGCCTGGGATGCGCTTTGCTAAGGTGGCCCTTAGGCTAGCGCGGGAGGGGAGGGTTAAGGAGGGTATGGGGGGTGTGTGTGTGTGTGTGTGTGTGTGTCGTTGTCTTCGTTTCTTGATCCTGGCTGTCTCTGAAACAGAAAAGGTTAGCGGGCAGGGGGGGGGTCATTGGGGTGGTCACCCAGGGTCAAAAAGTTGGTGTCTAGGTCTTTTGTGTTTGTCGGTCACGTCGGGTACGTAGTCAACGGCTTGCCTGAGGAGGGGATTGTCATGTCTAGCGGCTACGTCAAATCGTTTCTCCGCGTTTTGTCTTATTGTCTGTGTAGCGTTTGTGTATTGTAAGTCTCGTAATATGTCAGTGTTTCTTACGTACCAGGGCGCGTCGGTGGCCGTGCGGAGGGCTATGTTTTCCACAGCCTGTAATGACTTTAAGTGGCTTTTTGCCGCGTGACCCCACGCCGTGGAGGCGTAGGTTAGCTGCGGTTGAAGTACCACCTTGATAAGCGTTCGCTTATTCCTTAAACTGAGGGTGTTTCCACCTTTGAGTAAGGGATAGAGCCTAGCCCTGGTGGTCTTCGCTCGCGCCACCGTCTCCACGATGTGCGGTTTCCACGTGAGACGCTGGTCCATCGTCACGCCCAGGTATCGTGTTTGTCGATTCCAGGAGATGGGTTCCTGGGATAGTGTCAGTCTGTCAAGGTTTTGTGGGATTTTTCGTTTGGTAAAAAGGATAGCCGAACTTTTGTTGGGATTAATTTTGACTTTCCACCTGTTGCACCAGGTTTCAAGTTGGTCTAAGGAGCTTTGGAGGAGGTAGACGGAATATCTAGGATCTACGGATTGGGATGTGATTGTCAGGTCGTCGGCGTATAAGTATATGTTGGTGTTGGGGGGATGTGGGATGTCGGAGTTGTAAATGGTGTATAGGTGTGGGGACAGGACGGTGCCCTGGGGGACACCGGCCTCCATGGGACGGGTGGTGGAAAGGGAATCTTGGATTTGGATGCGGAATTTTCGGTGGTGTAGGTAGGATTTTATGAGTTTGGTAAAGGATATGGGATATTGGTTGGTGAGCATTTTCATCAGTAGGCCTTCATGCCAAACCGTATCGAAGGCCTTTGCGACGTCCAGGAAGACAGCACCAGTGTACTGTCCCCTGTTGAAGGCCGCCGTGATGTGCTCGGTAAGGCGAAGGATTTGGAGTTCAGTGGAGTGATTGGGTCGGAAGGCGAACTGCTCGTCTGGAATGACTTGCAGTTCTTGGGAGTGGGTTCTTAGACGGGTTAGGATAATTTTTTCTACCACTTTGCTCATAGCCGGGAGCAGGCTAATGGGCCGGTAGTTGGATGGGATGGTGTGATCTTTGTTGGGTTTTGGGATAAGGATTATGTTTGCTGTTTTCCAGCGGGTAGGGAAGTGTCTTAGTCTGAGTGTCGCGTTTGTTATGTTTAGTAGGGCCATGAGGCCCTTGTGTGGTAGTCGTTTAAGTGTCGTGTTATGTATATTGTCGGGTCCGGGGGCTTTTCTGTTTTTAAGTCTGCGTATTGTCAGTCTTAGTTCGTCAGGTGTTGCGGGGGGGATTATGTCATTGTCTGGCTCTCTGTCGACGCGTCGGGCCGCGCGCTCAGCCACTATCTCGAATTCCTCGTCTTCGTCGGGCAGCTGAGGCAGTCTACACTGCAGTTCCAGGCTATCGGCGAAAGCCTCGGCCTTTTCCTGGTTCGTGTAAACCACCCCCACACTACCGTGGATTGGAGGAATTTTACGGCGAGCGGTCTGTCGCAGGGCCCTCTGCGTTTTCCAGAGGCTGTTGTCTTGTGGATCCAGCGACTCCAGGTGCCTAGCCCAGTTATCCTGGGCCAGTTCATCCAGAGCCGCCTTCACCCGTCTGTTAAGTACGTTTAAGTCATGTCTGTGTCGGGGGAGTCGGGTGCGGGTGGCAAGCCGTTTCGCACGTCGTCTGTCACGTATTAAGTTTTTTATGTCATCGGGGAGGGTGCCCCGGGGGTTTGTCAGTCGGGGGACAATAGTCTCCGTCGTAGTCTGAGTCAGGGCGTTTTTAATGTCAGTCTCAAGGGAGAGGATTGCCGCCTCCAGATCATGGGTGGTTTCGATGACTGGGAGCGCCATGTTTCCTTGCAGCAAAAGCAATCAAATTTCGCATTCTGTGGTACGTAAAAAAAAATTAAAACGTGCGAAAAGCGAAATTCGATAAAAAAAATTATAACTACTGTTACATTATTGTTATATTAATTATTGTCGTTATTTCACATTTATTTTGCAAACAAATATATAAGAAATGTAATAGAGAATAATATTATTTTTATAGATTTAAACAGGACTTTAATAATTTATAAGTGTACATGTAATTATACATTGCAATATTGGGTATATATGTATTTTTTACTTAAACATATCTTCTCAACGAATGCTTCATTCGATTATTTTTTTATTTTTCCAAGGTATCCAGGCACAATTGGTGTTTTCCTTCTTCAATCTCTTTTAAACTAAAAAAAAAACTGCAATATGAGACTGATATTTATACAAAATGAAGATGTAGTAAAGTCAAAAAGTTTTTATTTTTAGTTTACAAATTCTACACATTTTTGGAGAAAAATTGAACAAGTATACTTCCTGTCAAGTGAAATTTCTTATCATTCTGGTGTTCGGATCAGGGATCTTATTTGGGACCCTTATTATATTTAACTTGGTCTTCTAAATCCTTATGATATTAACATTGTATTGGGACAATAAAATCCATCTTCAATCTATATTAATTACTGTGAAAATTTCATTAAATTAATTCGGGCCATAACAAGGTTTTAAAACTTTTTCATTTTCGGAAAAATAAGCCACATGTTTTTCAGATATACGATTTACCATTCTTTAAAATATTTTGTAAACGATTTTATACTGCTTTTAAAATTTTTTTGACATCTAAAGTAGGTATTAGAATATCATAGACCTCAGTATAGTGATCTAAACAATTGAAGCAATTTGTCAAAAATCGCGTAGTGTGTGCTGCCACGCGTGGAGACACACTGCAACAGGGCACAACACTAGCAAAGCACAAGTGCGGCGATCTATCAGACGCTGGTCTGTTATTATAAAAGCATAAGTACACAAATGAGTTACCTTGCCAGAGTCATCGTTCTCAAATCTGTTGTAGAGACTAATATTTGGAAAAGTCTCTCTAACATTAACTTAATTTCTACGGCTATCATGGAATCCAAGCCGAGTTCTGCCAAAGTTGAATAGGGGCTAACACATTTTGCATCTTTTAGACCTAGAAGACGATAATAGATAAGAATCTAAAAAAAAACTTGGAGTGGTCGATCGGCATCTTATTTGATCTTTTAGATCTGAAAAATTTGTCCTTGAAATACGTTGTCTTTCGCATAAGGAGAAAGTGAAAAAAAAATTTTTAAACTTGATTTTGATAAGTTAACTTTTAAAGCAAAATTAAAATTTAAGAATAGCACTTTATCTTCACGAACGCCAATAATACTTCTATACACACCAGCACGATAGGCCGACAGTGCAAGCATTAGGGTGCCATATCGAATAAATTGATCGATGCGAAGCTTCAAATCAGAGGCAGAAATGTACATGTTATTGTATGCGGATATAGTGGGATTACTAAAATGTAAAGTAGTTGAAACTTCGCTACCTAAAAAATAGTAGATATCTATTAAAAAATTTCGACTATTTTAGATATGCGCCTGTGATCTGAGTAAATGTTGAACAGTCATTTTCGTTTTTAGAATGGGTATTTACCTATCGATTGCCAGACACGATTAACCGTGGAACACTTAGGACAAATGTTAATTATTTTCTACAATCGTTTTCCTTATGAGTTAGAAATTACAATTTTGTTAACTTTTGCGGATATATAGGAAAATAGATGCTGCCCTTTTTTGTTTCAAACTATTATGCAAATACTTACATATATATTCTTATAATATGTAAAGGGCAACGGTTGAGACACTTTTTGTCTGAATAAAATTACATACAAGAAAACCAATCTCTAGTTATTACCAATAATGTTAACGACTGCTTCCACGACATTATCCGATGACTGCAACCTATGTTTCTCCGCCACCACCAAACTGGATACAACAGAAGCATCTTTTTGTGTGAGTAACACATCCAGAACATCTAGACAACTGAAAATCGATTGCTGCATGCTTCCGGTCACCACTAGTTCTTCATTTTCAGCGGCTATGCCGGTCTGAAGTTAATATGAAAATTATTAATTCGGTAATTATTTACTTTAGTGGCACCACCTCCAATTTTCACGAAATTTTGTCTACCCCCCTATTTTTTCGATGGTGCTTAACACGACTCTGTAGTTTTTTTGTGCGGTCGAACCTAGTTTTCGAGAAAAAAATTTTTTAAAATTCTAACCTGGATATTTCAGATAACACTACGTACAACTCTGTACATTTTATGTAGCTTTCCAGAACATCTGTTATGAACAATTAACACAGTTCACGAAACACATTTTCGTAAATTTCAAGTAAAAAGATATGTATCTAATAAATAAAAATTTTGTAGTTTGAATCCGCCATTTGTAATTCGTGATGACAACATTGAGTTCCCCCACTCTCATTCAACTCTGTTCATCCCACATAAATGTTATGTTACTATAATTGTATTTATTAAATACATATTTTTTTAGTTCAAATTTGGGAAAATGCGTTTCTTAAACAATGTTCATTGTTTATTACAATGTTCTGAAAGCTACATAAAATATATAGAGTTCTACGTAGTGTTATCTGAAATATTCAGGATAGAATTTTGAAAAATTTTTCTCTCAAAAACTGGGTGCGACCGCTCAAAAAAACTTCAGATTCGTGTTCAGCACCATCGAAAATAGGGGGGTAGACAAAATTTTGTGAAAATTGGAGGTGGTGCCACTAAATTAAATAATTACCATTAATTCTTTGGCATTATTATATGTCACTTACAGCATATACTTTACTACATAGAGGAAGCACCACGTTAATAGTCCAATTAACTAAGCCTTTAAATCGAAATTTTGCCAACTTGGCTGAATTTTTGATATGAGTTAGTTTAAGGTATATTATAACAATAAGTGAGAGTAATTTTTTGTTCAACCCCCGGCCAAGGGTGGAAAAAGATAAAACAAAGGGCTTTTTCAAGATAACTCAAAAAGGGTAAGAGCTAGAAAAAAAAGTTTTTCATGAAAGTTGTAAAGCAGACAATTCTACATAAAAATGGCCTCTTAACTTTTTCTTGTACTATTACAATTAACAGAGTTAGGGAGGCTAGAAGTTAAGGGAAGATTTCAGAAATTTAAAAAAAATCATAACAAACAGAAAAATGATTGAATTTTGTAATTTTTTTTTTCAATCTGCTCTAAAATATGTAACTTTTCTTTTCAGAGAAATAGATATATTTTTTAATTTTTAATAAGAAAGTTATAACAAAAAATCAAATTTTTAATCGTTAATTTTAATGATTTAACAAAATTAAATTTCTGAAATCTTCCCTTAACTTCTAGCCTCCCTAACTCTGTTAATTTTAATAGTACAAGAAAAAGCTAAGAGACCATTTTTATGTAGAATTGTCTGCTTTACAACTTTCATGAAAAACTTTTTTTTCTAGCTCTTACCCTTTTTGAGTTATCTTGAAAAAGCCCTTTGTTTTATCTTTTTCCACCCTTGGCCGGGGGTTGAACAAAAAATTACTCTCACTTATTGTTATAATATACCTTAAACTAACTCATATCAAAAATTCAGCCAAGTTGACAAAATTTCGATTTAAAGGCTTAGTTAATTGGACTATAAAAAGCGTAGATGCTGTAGAGAGAAAGGGAGATTGTTGAGCATATACTACAGCTAGAGAGCAAAGGAGTTGCCAATAACATGCCTGCACGAGAGAGAAAGATACGTCTTTCTCTCTCTGTCATTCGTCTACAATGTCGCCGTAAGCATGCTGCCTCCATGTAGTATATGCTCTAAGATATATTAAGTATTTGATTTGAACTGATCTCATCTAGCATTGTTAGATCACTTATTAGTTGTCACTTGTGTTTATAATGGGCTTGTTTTGACAGTTGACATTGACAGAATTTAGAAGCAAAGTTGATCCAAGGTTTCATTATAGAGATATTTGTTGTTGGCTAGTGTGACAAAAATATCCAATTAAAATAAACAAGTAACAAAAAATGACACAAATAATAATTACAGATATTAAATTAATCCATTTCGCCTTTCGATATAAATAACATCTAACAAAAAAAAATAGATAATAATTAAAACGCAAAGTTAAACATAAACTATCAAATTGCCACATGGGAACGATAGGTTATGGTCTTTGATTAATCGAGGGACTCTAATTCTCGCTATTCTTGCGAATATTAACTTGGTACTTTACGCACACGCAAAGTAGGTACTGGGATGTCAGGTTTATACAATTTTGTTTTTATAAACTTTCAGGGTTAATAAATTTTTATACATACCTCCCCGATGGCACCCCATTCTATTGCTAGGGCAGGAAATCCATCTTGCTTCCTATTGTCACAAATTCGTTCCATCACAGAGTTGGCCATTCCGTAATTCGATTGCCCCGCGTTGCCTCGTCCGCAACAAACAGATGAAAAAACGACAAATTCCCTGTAAAATCGGTTTAACGATAAGGGAGCATTACTACACAAGAATTGTTTAATAACAGGGACTGTTTATAGAAATTAGCTAACGGAATTGTAAAGTTAAGCTAGGTAAAATTTCCTATAAAAAAAGGCGAAAACGAGAATAGAACTGGGTAAAAAGCGATAGTCCCGCTAGACCCCGCTCCATGCGAGGTTATTTATCCTAAGGATATTAGCGGCCAAATATAACACTCTGATTCGACTCTGATATCCACTGACCTGTCAGTTCTGGCTGTAGCGGTAACCTTTTTTTTTAAACTTGATCGTTTATAGAGAATGTGTAAATTGTTATATACCAAGTACTTTTTCAATAGGTGTTCAGTATCATTATATTCAAATTCAGCAATGGAAGCATATAGCGGAGCTAATTCTAAGACCGCGAAATGCATAAATCGGTATTTTGATTTTTGTCAGAAGTTACAGGCTCTGAATTATTAATTTTTGTCATGTCAAATAGTCTGTCAACCAGTCAAATAAGCTTTTCTGAGAATAATAAACATTTAGAATTAACTAATTCCCTTAAAAAATAAAAACCTCTTCATAATCTTAGGATATAAACAAAACACTCTCGTTTCAACATAATTTTAGTATTGGCCAGCAGATGGCATCCAGAATATTGAAGTGATGTTAATTATTTTATCATTAAACACTTCGGAAAACAGAACAGGATTATTGGTTTAAATATAAATTGAAAAAATTAGAATCTTTCCAATATGTCACCCTTTTTGAAGCTCATCGGCACTCTTGAGCAGTGGTCGCCAACCTTTTTAATGTGTTGAGCTACTTCGATAGTTTTGGAATAGATAGTGAGCTACCTATCTGTAAGAGACGTAAGCCAACCGAAATGAAATAATGCACAGTTGTATTCCACACACATTTTTTTCGTTTATTAACATAAAATAATAAAAATAAACTAATATTATTTTAGTACGAGTACATACTGCTCAAAAAATAAACAAAACTTTTATGCTATTTACGGTTACGATACGATTTGATTTATGGAACTAAAACACTATAAAAGTAACAAAAAGAATAATGCACTATTTTAATTCATGTTCAATGAGAGGGCTGACACTCAGACTCATTCATCTGTAAGTCGATTGCGGTATTTGTTTTTAATTAACTTAATTACTTAATTAACTAAACACAATTATACAAGTCACTTTTCAACTGTAAAAAAAATATCATTACTCATTACTTCTACTCGTCTCATCACTGTATTAGCAGAAAGTTGCAGAGACCGTATTGAAGACACTATCTCGTCTTTATTTCTAAAGTTGGCAAATAATTAATCTGCAGCTTCTAAAAACGCCTGTTTTATCATTTCCCCGTCTTCATAAGGTTTCTTCTACCGTGCAATTATCTGGGACACACGGTATGACGCTTCAGTTGCGGCCTTATTTTTGTCGACTGTTCTTAAAAATACTGATTGTTGTCTAATTATCTGGTTTTTTAATTGTTTCAGTTTTTCCTTTCTGGCGGCAGAATGTAATGGGAATGATTTCTCAAAATTTGAATGTACAGTTTTATGATGCCTCTCAATATTTCCTTTTTTAGCAACGGAGACAGAAGTATTACATAACAAACACACATTTTTGCCTTGAACTTCTGTGAAAAAATATTGTTCTTCCCATTCCGAATGGAAATGGTATGTTTTCACTTTCTTACTACTACTTGCGGGCCAACGCTAACCAAGCCGCTAAATTTTGTGTCGTTCAGTTTTAAACTGCGCCTGGCCGCCGCACCTTACGTATTTATACCGTTCAAAGCAAGCCAGATCGTTCCCGAACCCAAGCGCGTTGTCGCGCTGATCGATTCTAGTCGATTCTAGCGGGGTGACGTCGCGTCGGCTACATATCGTTTACCGCAGTGTTGCCGCCGCTCGCGTTTATTATGAGAATTTGCGCAATTTAGGGAATGTAAACCTTTTATACAGAGTGTCCGGTAAGTACCTCCTAATCTCTCGGGAGTGTATAGGGGAGGTCAAAATAAAACTAGTCCTTCCTATAATTTTTTTTCCTAATGTGCCCCCTAACGGAGTTATGGGGGGTCAAAGGGGTACCTAGAAATTAACGTTTAGGGTTATAACTTTGAAACCACCCTGTATATTTTAATAAAATTTTCGTACGTTGTATTACACATGGAGCTCTACGATTTGATGCTAAAATCAACTTTTTGCTATTATCAGGTGTCCAGAAACGGACTGGCCCTATCACAATTTTTCTCAAAATTTTGACAGAAGTAATTTTATCAAACTGAAAATATTATTATTAGATACTCTGAAGGTTTTTCTTTAAAAATGGTACTCTTTATTTATTTCGAAAAAATGAACGGTTTGCGAGATAAATCGGTTTTGAAAAAAATTGGTAACAAATACAACAACAATTAAAATTTATTTTTTTACAATAAAATCATTCCCGCTAGTGCCAGCCTACAGATTCACCATAAACATTTACTGGTGGTGAATTAAGGGAATGAATAATGCCGTTTCTTGTAAAATCAACATCTATGACCAAAATACATCTACAAATTATTATTGCTCTTGTCTCCATGGAGTTCTTTTCTATTGTTTTCGTTGTTAGACCCTGTTGATTTTAAAGTACTTGTCAAAGGCGCGTGACAGAATAAAAATTCAATTTTATTGTGGTATTCGTTTTAAGCCGTTAGAAATAACATTTAAAAATGGAAGAATATTCCTGTGCAGAATATGCTGATATGCACCTAATTTATGGGGAAGCATTATGCAACTCCGTGGAGGCAAGAAGACTTTATGAGGAAAGGTTTCCGGGTCGACATTTGCCGAGTCCAAAAACTTTTGAAAGAGTTGATCGTAGTTTAAGAGAAACAGGTAAAAAAAAATAGTGAAAAACGTTAGTGAAACTAATTTCTTCCGAATCCTTTATTTAGGAAGCTTTTTGCCACGCCGTGGTGGAGCAGGAGCCCCGAGGAGAGTACGAGACCCTCATGTAGAGGAACAAATATTGGAAGACGTTGCTAATAATCCTTCAAATAGCATAAGGAAGCTTGCGGCGCAAAACAATGTTACAAAATGGGCTGTACATGAAACTCTGAAAGAACAATTGCTTTACCCGTACCACATCCAAAAAGTACATGCTATGTCTCCAGATGATTATCCAAAAAGACTTCAATACGCCAATTGGTTTTTACAGCATCATATTCGGAATCATAATTTTGGTACATCTATTTTGTTCACCGATGAAGCAGGTTTTACAAGAGACGGCATAATTAATTCGCATAATCTACATGTCTGGGATGAAGAAAACCCTCACGCTTTAGTTCAAACTCGCTACCAACAAAGGTTTATGGTGAATGTGTGGGCTGGCATTATCGGGAATCATTTGATTGGTCCATTTATTCTGGAGCAAAGACTTAATGGTGCTCTTTATTTGCAATTTTTAGAGGAAAATCTAAATATTTTGTTAGAAGAAGTGCCCCTTCAAATAAGAACTGAAATGTGGTACATGCATGACGGTGCACCACCCCACTTTGATCGTTTAGTACGTCAACATCTGACGAATGTTTTTGGTGATCGATGGATAGGTCGAGGCGGACCTGTATTATGGCCACCTAGGTCGCCCGACCTAAACCCATTAGACTTTTTTCTGTGGGGTCATTTAAAAAATAACGTTTATTCAACACCCGTAAATAGTAGAGAGGAACTTCTGCTGAGGCTAACACAGAACTGTGACCATCTCCGCAATAATCACGGAATATTATTTCAAGTGCACCGGGAAAACATTCGTAGGATTAGAAAGTGCATTGAAGTACGGGGTGCTCATTTTGAACATCTACCGAAGTAACATTTAGGTACCTTTGTTCATTGTTGAATGTTCTTTGTTGCATGTCTTGTAAGTAAGTTATTTTTCAAATGTTATTTTTAATTGGTCACTACTTGCTCATAAAGTATAGCCAACCCGTTCAAAGATTTCTGGACTTGATAAAGTTAAAGAAATTAAATGCATGAAATAATATGTAAAAAAAATAAATTTTAATTGTTGTATTTGTTACCAATTTTTTTCAAAACCGATTTATCTCGCAAACCGTTCATTTTTTCGAAATAAATAAAGAGTACCATTTTTAAAGAAAAACCTTCAGAGTATCTAATAATAATATTTTCAGTTTGATAAAATTACTTCTGTCAAAATTTTGAGAAAAATTGTGATAGGGCCAGTCCGTTTCTGGACACCTGATAATAGCAAAAAGTTGATTTTAGCATCAAATCGTAGAGCTCCATGTGTAATACAACGTACGAAAATTTTATTAAAATATACAGGGTGGTTTCAAAGTTATAACCCTAAACGTTAATTTCTAGGTACCCCTTTGACCCCCCATAACTCCTTTAGGGGGCACATTAGGAAAAAAAATTATAGGAAGGACTAGTTTTATTTTGACCTCCCCTATACACTCCCGAGAGATTAGGAGGTACTTACTGGACACCCTGTATTTTAAAAATGTTTTGCGAGATACGAGCTACCAGAATTTCCTTTACGAGCTACAGGTAGTTCGCGATCGACGGGTTGGCGACCACTGCTCTTGAGTGTCGCATTCCATGGAAACCACGGAAACGAACTCGGCCGTTCAGATTCGCTATTCCGGTGGTGGGGATATTGCAACAAGTGACCGATATGGAACAATATGGGCAACATTTTTTTTCTGAGGGTACTTCGAGGTGTTTTGATTATATCGCTAGCTTGTTCACTAGCTACCACTCACTATTATCTACTAATCACGATTCCACTTTTTCTTAAAAATGTCACGCTTCCCGTTTTTGTAACCTATACTGATCAACATTTATATATTTGATTCAATGCCTGCTTCTGTAACCAAGCAATCATCATCTACCGACTCCACAATAATGCTATCAGAAATGGAGAGTCATTTTCTTAAATCTACAAATGTGTTTGACCTACCTACAATTCTCGGACCTCTTTGGACTTACCGTAAATCTGCACACATTGTCCTGGTAAGGTCATCCAAGTGCTTTGTAGCAACGGCTTTTGGCTCAAAAGTAGCAGCAAATGACTGAGTGGTTTGATTTTCGAAAATCGCATCGGCGAGCACCACGGCCAAATTAAAAACAGCAGCGAGGGTACCCAATTCTAAAGCTTCCTCGATCGATTGCTTGCAACCATCTCTACTTGTTACGGGAATGGTTGATATTTTCACCACAGTTCCATAAGATTGCCATAGCCTACATAACATATCTGTTATCATTTGCTCGCTTTGGCAAATTTAAATGTTTAATACAGGTTCTTACTTGATTCTATACCGTTGATATCCAGTAGTTATTCCTTTTCTAGAGGTCAGCACTAGCTTTCTAGCTCCCCGGAGGACTAACCAGTCTGCCAGTTCAAGACCGAATCCTCCCAAACCGCCAACGATCATATAAACCCTCTTGGGATCGCAATAGTACCTGGAAATGTATCACATAGAGCTATTTTGGGGATACGTAGCTGATTGATCACTGAAAACTTTTAAATTGAACCGATTACGACTCTATTACGAACCGCGTCACAAGAACACTAATAAAAATCGACACGAAAAATGCAGGGTGTTAAAATAAACTTATGTCAGAAATTTAAAGGGGGTGAAAAAGGAGCAAAAACTGAGTTAACTGATGTCACAAACTTGTATCGGAAGTTTAAGGTCATAGAGAAAAAATTAAAAATGTATTTAAAACTGTTTTGGAACTGCTGAAATACATGTATTTTATCACGGCTAGTACTTACAAAACATTCTGTAACAGTTTTTACGACTTTGTAGGTTTCTTATGAAGCCGGACTGTAATCGAAAGTCAGTTTGTAATACATTGTTGTAGTGATTGCTGTGCTGTTTTTCGAGAATACATTTAATAGCCGTATTTCCAAGTTTTCTTTTGAAAATGGCGCATTTATTTAGCAATCGCGAATATTATGATAAGCTCTTAATTTATGGCAAAGCAAACGAAAATACCCACAGAGCTTGTCAAGTGTACCGTGCAAGATATCCTGAACGAGGTGCCCCCGCGACGGTAGCCCAGAGCGACCACTAAGAATCTTAAATGTCGAGCCACTTCATATTCAACGTGTTCAAGCTCTTACTCCTGAGGATTTTATACTACGTCGAGGTTTTTGCGAATGGTTGCTTCAGGAACATGCAAGAAATCCTCAATTTACAGTGCAAATACTTGTTACAGATGAAGCATATTTCAGTCGAAATGAACAGGTGGACCGGTATCGTTAATGACAGTTTAATAGGACCTTTTGAATTGCCTAGACGCTTAGACGGTACTTCATATCTAGATTTTTTGCACAATCGCTTGCCGGAGTTATTGGAAGACATGCCATTAAATGTTCAGCAAAATATGTGGTTACTGGATGATAGAGGCTCCGCTCACATTTTTTTGAGATTGCGCGACTTTCTAAACATTCCTTTTCCCGATCGCTGGAAAAGGCAGCCTAGTTAGATGCCCCCCGGTCCCTGGACCTCACCCCTTTAGACTTCTTTTTGTGTGGATATGAGAAAAGTGTTGTGATTCCACGGAACTTCGTGACAGCGACCAACTGCGACATCGTATTGCCGATGCTTTTAATACGATTCGAGAGGACGCGGCAACGTTGCAACGCGTGTGATCGAATTGGATACGTCGCGCTGAAGCTTGTGTGCAAGCAAATGGTGGGTACATTGAACATCTTCTATGAAAATCAGCAGTTTTCAAAAGGTGGCTCCTTGCAATGTTGAGGTAAGTCAGATTTTAAAATTACATTTAACTCAACACAAATCCATGTATTTACCTCACTTTGCCATAACGGACATGTGGCAAAAATATTTGACATAAGTTCATTAACACCCTGCATATGCGGGTTAGGTTGCCAACCTGACAGGTGGGATTGTAAAAGATCTTTCATGCTTACGTACCTCGCTGTATCACTCAACTTCTGCAAAGAAGGTGCGACAACTAGCTGCTCCTCGGGCTCTCGCATCATGACAAGCACTTTCCCGATGTTACTACGAGTAGTCATAAACTCAAAAGCTTGCTCAACATCATCATATTTGAAGGTACGCCCGTTCAAAGGTTTAACGGCTCCTTCCCTTATTAATGCTTTCAGTAACTTTCTAATTTCGCAGCATATTAATTGACTGAATGTTTCGTCCAAAGCGATCCCGTGAAAACTAGCTTGTTTCTCGAAGAGCAGCAGGTTAAGACGGTTGGTGTTTGTCGAGTCGGGATTTCCTACTTGCAAAAACCTTCCCCCCTTGGCGAGGCATCTCAGCGAAGCTACTAGTTTTTCCTCAGTTAAAAAGTTCAAAACCAAGTCGATGCCTCTGCCATTTGTTCCTTTATAAATCATCTGCTCAAAGGTCGCATCGTGAGAATTGCCGATATTTTCATCTGGAAAAGAGACATATACAGTGTGTCCCCGGTAGCCCGCACTTTTTTATTATTGATTTTTAGACAAAAAAGTTATTCTTGATATAAAAGCTTGGCTTATCTAAGCCATGGGCAGTAATCAAATCAAAGTTTACTTATTTTTTACAATTTCTGTCTACTTCAAGATAGTTAAAAATCACGTCTTCTTATTTGGAAAATGTATTATTGTTCTATTCTGACCAAACCCAGCATTTCTTGAATTCTCGAACAACTTTGTTAATTACAGTTTTTAACGAAAACAAAAATTAAAGGCACTTTTTTAGCGGTACTCTACAATTACATTTAGTACCTGCACCAATAAATATATTTTGCTTTCTGGGAATTTACGAGCCATGTAAATTATACTTTGAATTATCCGAGATTATCCCAAATAAATGTATTTAGTAAATGAGATTAGAATAAGTAGGCTGTAAACATAAATATCAGTTGTTGTTTATTAGGGTACATAAGCACAAACCGAGTAGGTAATGACCCGGATAAGTGTTAATTAGGATAGGGGACAAGGATAAAAACCGAAAACATTTCGAGGCACGAACGAGAAGTCTTGAAGCCTAGTTCCTGCTCGGTTGTGTCTCGTGTTACCAGCGAAATTAGTAGAATAAAAGTTTTCCATGCTACTTAGAGTTTTTCTCCTCACTTGAAGACCAAACCACTATACTTTCCTTAAGGAAAATTTCACGTTTTGAAATTTTTGACTTGATAAGCAAAACTTTTTATCAAAAAAAACTTTTGCGGTACCCCATCCGGGGACAAACTGTAGACTCTGCTATTTATTTTGTAAAAATGTAAACCTTTTAATTGGGGGTACATCTTCTTTATGAAGTCGTGCTGAGTTTTGGTGCCCACTGTCGTAAATACTTTGCATCCGTAGTGCAGAGCAATATATATCGCAGCTTGACCCAAACTGACAGTGCCGTCGTGGATCAAGATGCTTTCTCCGCTTTTCATATTGCCACGCTAAAAAATAACAGATTGGAAATAGAACACAAAGAATTTATCTTGGTTTGCAGATTTCCATGTTAGCTGTCACTGGTTGAACCATTTTCTGAATTAGTTCTTGAATTTTCGAGATTCAGCTCTCGCCAGAGGACTTAGCCTCTAGTGTTAGTTTTTTTCTGAAGGTGTGTGCGATATGTCTCTCGAAACGTCAAGAAGTCTAAAACATCTCAACCAGCCCAAAAATTGACAACGGTCACAGAAGCTTGAAAAGTAACCATAGACAGGTTCGGAGACCGATAAAGTAAGTCATAGAAATCCGTGTGATAGACAAAGATGGTTACATTGAAGACGTTTCATAATCTGAATAGTCAGTCCCATTTCTAACCCGAAACGGGCGGTGACTATTCAGGTTATGAAACGTCTTCATCATAGCCATCCTTGTCTATCGCACGGATTTCTTTACTTTACTTTGTCGCTCTCAAGTAAAGGCAGATGGACCATGTGGATTTTCCAGCCCTATATATATTTTTTGTTTATACTGACGTTAACATTACCATAATTAGAGCATAAATCGCTGTCATATAGGCTGAGGGAACCGTGGCAGCCTCATCCAGAGTCCAATCATCCGGTATTTGATAAATGAAACTTCTTTCGACCAATAATAGATTACTAGGGGCTTCTGCCTTGGACCAACCCATCACTCGGGTGCCACTATAGAAGAAAACTGATGAGTTATATTAAAACAGCGTTTACTAATATTCTTAATCACAAGTTGCACATCGAATTGTGTTTTTTAGTTATTTTTTACATATTCTAAACTCTAACAATGTTCAACTGTATTGTTTAGAAATATCTACTCACGCGAAAATGATTAAAATGACTAATAATTCAAGTAACTAATATTGAGTTAATGGTGGAAATGAAATTATAATACCGATGACGTTTTACCGCCTCAAAAATGTTGCAATGCTATTGGACAGCTCAAGGTTAAAGTTTATATGCAACCCACTACTACTCTACTCTACTAATTGTTGATTTAACAAAAAAAAAATGTGTATTCCAGCACAGTTCAGAATGTGAGAAAAGGAAACAACGCTTGCCTAGCTAGATCAAACAAAAATGTCGCATCTGTAGCTGAAAGTTGGTGACAAAAATTATGCTTTTATAGCACCTACTGATTAGTAGGCGAATTGAAGGCAAACTAACCTCTTATCTCTGCCAGAAAATGCAACTCCCAAGACACATTCTTGTTCTAACTTTACATCTGAATTAATTTTTCCATGGGTATTCCTAACGTCTCTGAAATTTAGGGATGAATAGTACACCTGAAAAAAATTGTTGGTAATTTTTATATATAACATTTTATTTTATATATTACATAAAATATGTATACAGAGTGTAAATAAATAAGTACAAAAATATTAATGAAGCGATTTATCTATGAAAAGGCATTTAGAAGTTATGACAATTTAAAAATGGCGTCATTTATACTGGCGTTGGGTAATAACAAAAAAAAAATCATACAAAACTTGTGAAGGGTTTAAAAGTGTATGTAAAAAGTGTATTTTCAATTTAGGTTATATAAGCGAAATTTCGAAAAAACAACAACTTTCTGTAAGACTATAGCAGTTGCGCCCCCTAGCGATGCAGTTACAAACTTGAAAATATTTTAAATCAATTTCTTTTGGTCGGATTTGCTAATAGATTTTTTACCCAAACAAAGATCTCTTTGTAGTAGTTGCTTTTTAGAAAACATTTTTGAATTTGTCTGAATTATCTTAATACTATGAACCAGAATCAAAGACGGGCGATACTGGTGCTTGGATAAAATTTTAGTCTATTAATTAAGACTAGAACTTTAAAATTTGGAAGTCCTAAACTAGGATAATTTAAATGATAAATGCAAGACATGACCTTTATTATTGTCGACAATTCACCACACTTTCCATTCGGACCTAATAAGAGATAACACCCTGTACATTATTAAAATAGTTAATTCAGAAGGATATCATAATTTTAAGATGTCAGAAAACTATGACGAGGAACCCAGCCACACTAAAGCAAAGTCTACAGACGCTGACGTGGGTGCGATCGAACGTCAACCCTCGGTGCGATCGAACGTCAACCCTCGGTGCGATCGAACGTCAACCCTCGGTGCGATCGAACGTCAACCCTCGGTGCGATCGAACGTCAACCCTGGGTAATATAAAAATAGAAATAAATATATTAACAGAATAATTTAGTGACGTATAGTGGCAGCACCTGGTAAATAAGAACCAATATTACAACAGAACCAATATTCCCAGACCTATGAATTTCGCTGAGAATTATTTTATGAAAAACGACTTACATATATCAATTCTTTCCCTGCATCCGGTACCGCGTCATGTCTAAGTGGGCCTTCGGTCCACTTAACACCTCTGTTAGTAATATTTACAAAACATTGTTCGCTTTCCACAATTTTCAAATCTTCCAACGGCAGATGCCTCAAGGTGCCCCACTCTCCATTTTTGTATACGTTAACGGCCAAATTCTTCCTCAACTGTTCCCTGTAAATCGTAGAGTTGGGATTAAACTTGGCATCGTCGTTCATAACGAAGACACATCTGATATTTTTTATTCTCGGTTCGCGCCGCAAACACTTCACCATGCCTAGAATTCCGCTTGTAGAATCTTCCGAATAGAGCACCAGCTGCTCCTCAGGGCTCCTATTCAACTCGATTTGTACCTTTGGCACCCAAGAAAAATCTTCTGAAGAGTCTAGTTTAATATAATTTGCTTTCTGCTGAGGTGTTCGTTTCCGAACGAGGAGTATAGTCTCGAGTGTAGTTCTGTGTACAGTTACGATCGTGATGTCTGGATACAGATCGCTTCTAACCTCACAACTGTGATTTTCGCGGGACATAATAAAACCGTCCTCTTTTAATGCAGCAAATGCCTCTCTCAGAACCTAAAAAGAAAAAATTGGTGTAATATTTGTTTTTAGAACATCCTCGGGTGATTGTTTTTCTAGCTGTTGTATGGGGATCTTGGTTATTATGAGAGATACCATCAGCAAGGTCGGTAAAATATCTGGCAAAGCTTTAAAGTGATGAGATAAATTTGGAGATAGACGGAGATAGTGATACGAAATTTTGTGCACAGAATACATGAAAATTGCATTTTTTTCAACTTAATAACCAGGCAACACTTTGCTCGTCTTTGCTGGCGCCTTGTTGTCATATCACATCAGATCTATTAATTTGTGATATTAAAGATACTGTAACAAATACTTTTTATTTAGAGACTTGAAATGATTTTAAAAAATATTTCAAATCTATTAGATTAGTGAAAAAAATTAATCATTATTTTTTGAGTATATTTTACAAAACAGCAAATTTAATTATTTGAAAACATACATTTGTTTTACATACATTGGGTAAGGTTTGTCTATCCACATGCTATTATTAGTCAGTATTCTTTTTGATTGTTACACTACTTTGGAGTCAAAATGGCTGTCGGTGGATGACACTAAGTATTAATTTTTATAGTTGTTCATGTTTATCGCCTATGAAAAACATTGTAGAGACTTTTAACTAATATTTTAGTAACGTTTATGCCTGTTAATCCCGGCGAATTAGGTTTTTTTTTTTTCAAAAATCGGGCCTAACTCGAATTTCATTGGCTTAAAATTAAGTAAAAAATACACAGAATAAAATCCTAAATTTGTGTGTTTGTAGAGGTCGAGCGTCATATCGTTGATAACAAAAGAAAAAATAATAATTGCTTTTTTTCAGTTTATCGCTTCCATCTCCGAAATTAAGCCTCTAATCGACATGAGGTATACTTATCGATTTCGTTCCTGTAACATGTAATGTTAATATTGGAACATTCAATAATATTCTAGACACAATTTACCTAACAGTTAATTTTAAGATAATATTTTATACGCCGACCTTTTCAGAGCACACAAATAGAGTACTGCTCACTTTTTCAAAGAAATAATTGACTTTTGGTTTTAAATACGTAAAAAGACCTTGTCAAATATCGAAAGCATAATTACAAAAGAAAACGTGAAAAGTCAATAAATATGTATTTTTCGGGGTGTGGCGATTACTTTCACAGATTTTTGCATTGAAAGAGCGGAAAAAATAAGTTGATTTAAAGAAAAAGCATCTCCGTCGTTGCTTTCTATGTGCCACAATCCATTTGTTAAGTAAGAATTTTGCGAAGCCGAGCACAGCAAGGGCACTATGACGTCACAGCGCTCGCTTCTCCTGGCTACCGCTAACAATCAGCCGCGCGGATCATGCTGCCTTTAACGAACGTTTACTTGGTCATTTCTTGGTCAAATCGTTTAAAAAAAAATCAGCGTATAAAGGAAGTCTTCTACTTTATAAATTGTGTTT